AAATTAATTATGAGAGAGCTTCTCAAACTTGTGGCTAATTCTTTATCAGTCTAACAATGCAGGAAGTGAGGTGACTGTTCATTTTATAACTCTATACTGAACGTACAGGCTGTGGTGTGTCATTTAGTGACAAAGTAAGCTGGAACTGTTCTTGTGTCTAAACAAATAAACATCTAAAATTAGAAGCAGAGAAGAGAATTACAACTCATAACACAGGGTTGTCCTCGGGGGCCAGAAGAAGACTGCATTATAATTAGCAGATTGCTTATGGCTACACATTAAATTAACTGGCAAATAACATTAATCAGAAAAATGCCCAATATAGCAGATACGGTGTGTTTTGATCATTAAAGAGAGGTAAGGGCATCACAACATAAAAAAAAAATAAAAAAAAATAATACTACCATTAGTAATAATATTAGTCGTAACACAAAAGTAACTGCAAAATATTTGTCACTACCTTTAAATAGTATTAGATTAATAGCAGTGCATTTATATACAAGTTGTTTTTACTAACTAGAGAAAAGGGAGATATTTTCTAGTGGATGTCTGCAGAGCATAAAGTGAGGTTGTACATATGAAGGTCTCCCGTTGTAGGGTATTTATGGATAGAACTTCAGAATTTGTTGGTTGGAGAAGAGAAGGAGGATAAGATTTAAACAATCTTTTTTAGTAGAGCGAACAATTATTAATAATTGTTTCCTTGTTTCCGATGGACTAACATAAGGAAGTAAGGCCACATTACAAGAGGGAATGCAAGTTTGTGAGAGCCAGATTTACCATAGCTGACACCTGTTTAACAAGTCTAGCGACCCTAATTAGAGATTTGTGATGAACTGGTTTTAAAACTTTGGACATAACAGTTATTTGTAGAAACTTGCCAATTCGTCAAAATTGACTGTTTGGATGAAAAAAAAAAGCTTTCAGATCCGCATATAGCTGAAGCAGGGAGATTGATTATACATTATAGCAGCATTCAACTACAACCAATTTTATTCCAGACAATTTAAAGAGAACCTTCCCCTAAAAAGTGTCATATTGCCTTTAACGATAAGAATCCTAAGTGCCTGTTAAATGTACTGCATTTGGAATCTGGACATTGTTCACAGTATGTGTCAATGAGTGTAAATTTTACCCAGACCAAAAGTTGCCAGAGAGCTAAAATCTTAGATACAAGAACAGTTCCAGCTTACATGGTTAAAATGCTTGCTCTGATGCCTTGATTTTAAAAATTCTAACTACGTGCCCTCTGGCAGGGTTATCAAATAGTTAAATAAAAACCTCAGCGTGGATTAATCATGTCGTTGCTTTCCAGTACTTGCTGAATAAAAGAAAAACCCATATTAGAGCTAGTATGCAAGTGTCACCTGATTGCTGTGAGCCAATAAACTCAGCCCTGCACTGCACTACTGCTACGACTCACTCTCTGTCAGAAGTATTGGAGGTAAGGACCAGACAAAGGTAGTCAATGGTTTGACAGTATGGGTTGGGGGTAGGGGTTCCAAGGGTACACCTAGCACGCAATCATAGCCAATACAATGCACTGTAGGGGTTATGGTTTTTGGAGTTGCTTTGAAGCCGAACTAATGCTGCTTATTAATGCTAAATAAGTAGAATACTCTATGTTACCATGAAGTATTTAGATTAAAGCCCTTTAGATTATTATGTCAGCAAAAAACAAGCAAGCATTAGTCCTTAAGGGATCAGTTCAGAAATAAAATTCCAATATAGGAATAACAATCTGTTATAACCACCATTTTGCTATACGCAAACTTCAGAAGGAGTAATTTTATTATTATTATTATTATTGTGATTTATATAGCGCCAACAGATTCAGTAGTGCTTTACAATATAATTAGAGGGGGGATTTAACTATAAATAGGACAATTACAAGAAAACTTACAGAAACGAACGGTTGAAGAGGGCCCTGCTCAAACAAGCTTACAGTCTATAGGAGGTGGGGTATAAAACACATTAGGACAGGAAATAGCAGTCAAATTAGGTGGGAGTGAAGCAGAGCTGGAGGAGGGAGTAGAGTGCTGCCCTTTAGGAGAGAGCAAGAGACAGTTATGTGAGGTAGAGGTTATTCTGGGAGGCCATAGGCTTTCCTAAAGAAATGAGTTTTAGGGCACTTCTTAAATGATTGAAAATTAGGGGAGAGTCTGATGGCGGTAGGCAGGCTATTCCATAGGAAGGGAGCCACCTGCTAGAAGTCATGCAAGCGTGAGTTGGCCGTACGGGTACGAGCAGCGGACAGAAGGTGGTCACGGGCAGAGAGGTGAAACCAAGAAGGGGTATACCGATGGATCTGTGAGGAGATATAAGAGGGGCTAAGATTATTCAGTGCTTTATAGGTATGGGTTAGCACTTTGAATTGGCTCCTATAGTATACAGGGAGCCAATGTAAGGACTGACAGAGGGGTGAGGTGTGAGAGGACCGACTAGAGATGAAAATCAGTCTAGCTGCAGCATTCATTACAGACTGTAGCGGGGCAATACGGCTATTGGGAAGACCAATTAGGAGAGAGTTACAATAGTCCATGTGAGAGATTACTAGAGCATGGGCAAGCTCTTTAATAGCATCTTGCGTAAGAAAGAGGCGGATGCGGGCAATTTTTTTGAGGTGGAATTGGCATGATTTGACAACAGACTAGATGTGAGGTTTAAAGTTGAGGACAGAATCAAAAGTAACACCAAGACAATGATATTACTATCAGTGGGATAAATAAATGGTGCAACCAAGTGCTAGACTATTCTGCAAACCACAGCAAACAAGTGACACACTGTACACTGTACACATTCTTAACCTCCTGGTAATAACACTGAAAAACAACCTATCATAGAAAAACCTAACATAAAAAAACCCTTCTAAGAAATGCAAATGAAGACTATTTCGTCTGAAAATAAAAAGTTTTGGTACAGCAGGATTTTTATCTATATGTCAGTTAAGCACAACCAAATTTTGTCCACCAAAAAAGATTCAGGAAAATGGATCACACGAGCGATAAAGGTGTAAAAATAGGCCAAATAATGCCCTGCAAAATATAGACATAATACTGATATGATGTATATATATATTTTACAGTACACTGATTGGCCCATTTTTGCACTGTTTGGTACACAGATCAAGTGAGAAAAAAGAGAAAAAAATGCCTATCGAGAAAAAATGAGGAGGAGCAGTAACACAATCTATATTTCTATATTTTTATATCATATATTCTCCTCTTTTTACCCTCTTGGTCACTTCTCACTTGATCTGTAAATAAAATCAACATTTCGAAGGCTTGCTCCAGCCATCAATCATCCTATTCCCATATTAATCATCTCTTTTTTTTATTTTTTATAAATTCTTTATTTTTCAGGTTTAGGTGAGGTAAAGGGTACAGAATAAAGGTAGGGGTAGGGTAGTAGTGTCATTTAATAGCTTTACAGTTTTGTTTCGACTCAATGGCATTGGTACGATTTATTGCGAAACCTCAGAACAGTCTTCTAGGTTAAGTGGTACAGTTTTCTATGTCTCAGGTGGAGGTTGTCACTTGGCTTCGGGTCCTGTCGTTTTTGTCTCTGAGAGCGTATGTGGCTCTTCCTGTGTTGTGTTTGTCAGGTTTTGTCTCTTTCGTTTCTGTTTGGGTCTGGGGTTTGGGTTGGTGTGTCTGTTTTGAGTGCGGGTAGGGTCCGTGTGGGAGTTTGGTGGTCTCAGCCCATGGGTGGTCGCCTCATATAGGCTGTAGATGTGGAGGGTTTCCAGTGTGATGAGATCTGGGTCTACGCCTAGTGTCTGAGGTTGTCCTCTTATATTCGCATCTACTGCTGGTGGTCAGGTTGTGCGGAGTGTGGTATTTTGTTAAATGTTGGGCGAGTTCCCCAGTCTTGTGTTTGTGCATTGAATCGTGAAGTTGGTGTGGGGGGGGGGGTATGTGTATAGGGTTGGGGGGGTCTATGTGGGGTCCCAGTGTGTTATTAGTAGGGGGTCTGGTTTTGGGGGGGGGAGGGATCGCGGCTTGTTCCCGGGTCCTCCGCTTACGGTGCCTGTAGGTGGTGTTGGGTCCATGGGTCCCATATCTTGTGGAAGTTTCGAGTTGTGTCGTGTAGTAGGGCGGACAGTTTGTCCATTTCCATTGTTTCTTGTGTTTTGTGGATCATCGTGGTTAGTTGGGGTGTATTCTGATTGCCCCATTGTTCTGCTATTGTTCTTCTGGTAGCTAACGCTAATCTGGCCACTAGTTTATTTTGCGCTCTGGTGAGGGGAGGGTGGGGTTTTGAGAGCAGCCATATCCAGGGGTCTCTTGGGATATCTGTTTCTAATATGTCTGACGCGAGCGTGCTCACTCTTTCCCATATTTGTAGGACTTGGGGACATTCCCACCAGAGGTGAATGTAAGTGCCCTTCTGTGTGCAGCCTTTCCAGCAGGTGTCTGTGGTGGCGAGGCCCATTTGTTTCAGTCTGAGCGGTGTGAGGTACCATCTGAGTAGGGTTTTATAGGCTTGTTCTTTATGATTAACGCAAATGGTAAGTGAGGCCGTGGCTTCCCATATGTCTGCCCAGTCTGTAGGGTCTGCGGGGGGGCCTATATCTCTTTCCCAGGCCTTGGTGTAGGAGAGTGCGTCCTCTGGGGAGTTTGAGTTTAGGAGTGAGTATATTTTTGTGATTTGTCCTTTCTGTATGGGTGCGTGGAGGCATGTATTTTCGAATTGTGTTGGTTTGGTAGTGGCGGCCGTCCTATTTTGTGGTTCGTTGAGAAAGCTGCGAATCTGTATGTAGCGGAAGTGATCGAATGTGGTCAGGGGTGTTTGTTTGGGGAGGTCCTGGAAGGGGCAGAGTTGTTGGCCTTGGAAAAAGTGTAGGAATCGTAATAGTCCATTGTCCTCAAATCGTGAGAAGTCTTTGGGAGTTAGGCCCGGGGGAAATTGCTTGTTTCTTAGGATAGGTGTGAGGGGCGATGGGTTGTTGATTATGGGATGTTTTGATGTGATGTCGTCCCAAATGAGAAAAGATGTGGTTAATCATCTCTTTTTTTATCTCTTATTTTGGCGCTTGGATGGAATTGAGAAGAACTAACCAAACGAACATGCTCATCCATTATGTGAGTCTGTTCGGAAATCTGGAATACATTTGATCACTCAATCGGCCTATTTCGTAAAGAAACTAATTTCCAAATCTAGAATTGCATATATTGCGTGAATTGTCACTGTATCTTTTGTTTTATGTACCATTTTGCAAAACCATAGAAATATTGTTAAAACCTGAATTTTTATGGTATCTTGGGAAGGTATTAGTGACAAATGTAGCACTTTAAAGATTTTAGCTGTATTGATAGAACAGTCAATAGCTTTTATGAAAGGTAAATTTACATTGAATATTGTTGTGATGTTTCAATGCAAACATCGTTGTGCTAAATATTGATGATAGATCTCTTTTAAGTCAGAGATTGTGAGTAAAGTAAATAGAACAAGCTTAGATGCTTGTCTATAATACATGCTCACGTCTCGGTAAAGTCTTTAATCCTTTGAAGACAGATACGAGATACCAGTGTAAATAAAATGCTTTTGGGATTTCTAGTAAGGCGAAAATGATACGGGCAATTGGCTTTCTGTTTTTCTCTTTAGGGACCCGATGTGCAGTAGATGTTGGCAGTACGTTGTTTCCTTTACAAAGTCTCAGAAGAATCACTGCTACAGTATATCTATTAGGCTAATGGTAAAAATACACAGCAGGGTGGATTTTTTTGTTTTGCATTAATTAGACATAACATGCATTTTACAAACACACTTATTAAGATACTGCTTTCTGACTGTGTCCCTTAGCATATCTTCAGGCAACAGAGGGCAGACAAAGGGGGTTTGGGGGAATTTTCCTCCATAGGTCACTAACATGAGAGGGCTAGCAATGGGCATGTATGCTACAGTCCCAAAACAAGTTTCTAAAAATTGAAATAGTGGGAGGTGTGTTGTGTCTGTTTGTACAATTCTACAATTCTAGTAGTAAAGCAGCAGGCAAAAATTATGCTATACACCTACACTGCCACAAACATACATATTTACACAGATGCCATACACACACAGATACACACACTCACACATTGACATACACACAGATACACACATACAGACGTACACGTACACTGACACACAGATACACACATGTAAGCACACTGAAATACACATGTAGATATACATACTGACACAAGACACTCACACACAGACACATGTGCACACAGATACACACACTAACTGACACATACACACTCACAGGCATACTGACACAGACAGATACATAAATTGACAAACATATTTTTCAAACATACCTTTTATGTGCAGGAAGGTGTCTTCCTTGGAAACCTGATGCTGGCTGAGTCTGATAAGTGTATGGGTCTTGGTGTGGCACCGTCCTTTATTCTCCCCCCTCATGCGCTGCTCTCTCCCTGTATCTGGGAGGACGTCACAAGCACGCACTTCCTCCCAGCATTACCGATATTACAGGGGCCCAGTCGCGCTGAATGGATTTAAGAAAACCTTTGTTTTAGAGAGAGCAGCTAAATGGAGTTAATAAAAACCTGTGTTTTAGAGAAAGCAGCTAAATTGAAGTACTATTAAAAAATAGGAACTTGCTCATTTGAGGAAAAAGTCTACTTTTTCAAAATACAGATTAAAACAACAGTATTGCAGCCAAATGAACCTTAACAGGATCTGAAGAGGATGGTAATGTATAAATGAGAATTTAGTACATAGTACACTATTGGCCCCACTTTGTATCCTATGTTCTCTTCAGATCTGGGAGTGACTCTAAGAGGATAGGTGTGTTGCTACTCAAAAAGCACAGTTACGCACAGGATTGAGCCAACCAAACAGGCTCTGATATATGTGAATGGTTTTGCACTCTTAGATTACCATCTTTACTATTTGTATTTTTACTTTGTGTTTTTATGCACCTGCTGTGAATTATCAACTTACCAAATATTGTCAAGGGTCAGAAAACCACTATTGTATAGGGCCCCACTAGCATCTCAAGGTGTTCTTCACTTGTAAGATAAAAGATCACATGTCTATTATATAACGAACTTATTCTGCTTGTTATTGTTTAATTTTCACCAACTCATGCAAAACTAACTTATTAATCAGAGAGAGGATTTTGAAGTATTAATGGAATGCTTACATGAATCAGAGGCTGTGCTCTAATGTCTGGCATCTAGCCATATGGAATCTGGTTGGAATATTAAACAGACTTCACTTGTGTTTACTACCCAATAAGCACTTTGAGGTTGGCAAACTTGGCACTGTATTCCAAGCCAGTGAGTCATCGTGAGAAAGCATCAGATTCTAGCAGGGATTTGGGTAGGAACCCGTTAAGTGACTTTAGATTTTATTTGTTTTGCATTTGGCTGGGTGGAGTTAATCCTTCCAAGGATAGCAGGTAAGAATCTAAATGAGAAGACTTGTAATACAAGATGAATAAAATAATTAATGTGTCTTTTGTCAGGTTTGAAGAATGTCAGGATCCAACATGTGTCCGAAAATGCACAGCGATATGTCACCGAGGCGGCAGTGTCATGCCAAGATCTGTGTAGACAAGTCCTCTCTTGGGACAAACGTGAATCTTACTAAGGAAACACTCTCTGTTAAAAGAACACTTTGATCTAGCCGTGACTGAGAGATTTAATCTGTTAATCATGTTAGACACTCTCAAAGCATGTAATTATACTAGTGATAAAGTGAATTAATGTAACACTGTATCCTTCCCTTTTCATGTTTTTGTTATTGTTTATACAATGCACATTTGCAGAACAGAATGCTAAGCAGAATTGCAGAGAAAGGGTCGGTTCTCCAAAGTTCTAAGTCAACTGTACCAGTTATCCCCTCCAGATGATAGGTGTCTGAATGATAACAGAGTTAGTTTAGTAATTAAACCGTGAATTGACAATACTAATTTAAGATGATCACTTCTGGATTACATCATTACCTGATGTCACTAATTACATCTCTTCCTGTCTGTATTTGTTGTATTTGATCATTGTTTAGTTTTTAGTAGGATAAATGTAGGCAAATAAAAAAACGACAAAAGCATTATGTTAGGATTTCTAAAACAGGGTGCCCATCACCCATGGCACCATCCTGTTGGCTTTGTTGTCAACCCATTGTCAGCCTATTGACACATCTGTCATTCTATTCCCGTAATCGTCTGGTAAACTAGATCTGCTTAATAGAGGAATAGTCACAGCAAATGTAGTGCCTGTTCTATAGTTGCTGTGAAGAAGAAATGGACAGCCTTGTTGATTGGCAGGTGGGAGAAGGACTATTCTTTTAAGGGATTTTTAAGACAATCTACACATTTGTTAGCACAGTGCACAGACCATATTTGTCTCATTATTTAGTGCTAAAGGAACACTATAGCATTAGGAATACAAACATGTAAGGCTATAATGTTCACCTACTTATTTAAGTGCTTATCCCTGTGAGGATTTATTATGTGAGTTTACTTACCTTCTTTTCTTTGCCACTCTGGTTTCACCATGCCTCTCAATACACATCGCCAATCAAATGCTCTCTCGTAGCAGCATTTGATTCTAAACCAAGTCTGACTTGGTTCTCTCGGGGCAGCACCTATAGTGCCTTTCTGGAGGACAATTTAGTGCCTTTAGTGGTCCTAAATTGTATTCAATCACGATAGGTAAATTCTAACAATAAAGAAAGCACAACTGGAAATAAAGTTTCTCGTCTTGGCTATTTGCTCTAAATTTTCAAATTTAACTTTCAAGCCACAACTATTCACTATTTAGATAAAAAATTGTGGATTTGTCTTTTTGTATAAACACTTAAATTATAATATACAAAATTCCTTAATAAACTTCTAAAAAAAAAATTATATTTAGCATGTGGAAGTAACAGCACATCATGTATAAAAATGTATCTGTTCACATAATTGTGCTGTATCATAAAATATTGTAAAAAAAAAAAAAAAAAATTCCTAAATGATCATAAAGAAAACTAATATTTGGAAATGGTCACTTTTACAGTGCTGGTTATTACCACGAGAGAAGGGAGGTGGCATTTACATTTGGTAGAGGCTCTAAAAGCAATATAAGTATATGATAAATTCAACTAATTTCAGTGTTTATACAAAAAAAGACAAATCCACATATTCACACGTGTTTAATGGAAATCTGGAAACGTGGTCTAAAATCTGCTTTATTTACAACAACTTTTTCTGATAAATTGTCAGATTTGGCTTTCAGTTTAGCATAGTCCAACATTTTGTTAATTTTCTCATCAGAGCATTAAAGAGACACCATAGTCACCAGAACAACTACAGCTTATTGCATTTGTTCTGGTGAGTAGAATCATTCCCTTCAGGCTCCTTGCAGTAAACACTGTCTTTTCAGAGAACATGCAGTGTTTACATTACAGCCTAGCCATAACTGCACTGGAAACTTCTTACATGGCAACTAGAGGTGCTTCCTGGGCAGTGCTGCACATTGTACAGCACTGCCATTCAGTGTCTCCACCCTCTGCATGCAGACACTGAACTTTCCTCATAGAGATGCATTGATTCAATACATCTCTATGCGAGATCATTGTGATTGGCTCAGATCAACACTTCTGAAGATGTCAGCAAACCAGGCAGATCAAGGGCAGAGCCAGCAGCAGCAAACTTGTGTAAAGGTAAGATTTTGCTATATTCAGGGGGGAAAGGGATGCCAGGGGAGCTAGCTGGTGGTTTTAACACTATAGGGTCAGTAATACTTGTTTGTTTAGTCTTCCTTTAATCAGAACGCCCTTAAAGGGTTACTCCAAGTATCATAACCACTACAGCCTGTTGTAGTGTTTCTGATTTCAGGAGTACAATGTAAAGCCTTTCCTCCTGGCAAGGGGGCAGACTGTTTTGCAATGGTTTGCCCTCTTACCTGGATCTCTGCTGGGTGCCTGGTTTCCTGGCATGTTTTCTTACGATATCAAGCTTCTGTAGAGATGACCGCTTTTAGCCAATGAATGCTGTAGCAGACCCAGGGTAGCCCGGCTGGTTACCTCCGCTAATTCCCTTCCTTCTGCCGGTCGAGAACCACTACAAGGTAAAGAGACCCATTCCTCCCCCCCTCCCAGTAACTGGACAGCACCTAGTTCTGGAGGTACAACACAATTTTATTATCCACACACGGCTTTTATGTATTCCTCGTGCACGGGGTGGATCACACACACATACAAAGACACATCCCAGCGTGGCATTCCGTTCCATTTGTCTCCAAAACTTGTCACAGAATCCCCTGGGTTCACCACACCAACCGCCAGGGGTCTTCTTCCCAAGAGCCTCTGTGCCTGGGAGTCTAGGCGCGGGAAAAAGGGACCATCCAGCCTGCGGGAAAAGTGCTGGTCTCTTTGTCCCTCGGGCTCATGAAAGCCCGCCAAAACTCACCAGTGCCCACACCAATCTCAGGGATCCTCGCCTCAGTCCCTCGAATTACTAGGCTCGATTTGCGAGGCCCTGGTGTGAAACACAGACAAGGGAAGCATCTCCTTTGGGGGTACAATGGATGGCGTTCATCTGTACGAATGGCAGCCACCCAGGGGAGCACTCATGAATTAATTCCCGTGTGATTTCACACCTATGTTGCGGGTGCAAGCGTTCTGATTAATTGGTATAAACGTTCTAATGGGGCACCGTTAGGTACAGGAGGCCCTCGTTCGGGATATGAACGAGTGAGGAAACAATCCACGAATGCTCCCCCTGATGGCGTTCGTCTGTACAAATGGCGGGCACACAGGGAAGCACTAATTAATTGTTTCCCTTGCGGTTTGCGGTTTTGACACCTATGTTGCGAGGTGATTGGGAGGTGTGAACATTCTATACTAACATTCTAAATGAGGTATTAGGGTGGTTCGGGAGGTGAGTTAATTCCCCTCGTGGAAGCACTCCTGAACGGAGAGCGGGCACACTAAACGAAATACAGAGAGAACACATATTACAAGCAGTTCTGTGTATAGAACAACATGCACAAATTTGATATCAGCCTGTCCTGAACTTTAGTTCAAAGCAAAATGCTGCACATACAGACTGCAGGCACCATGACCTCTTCAAATCAGTGAAATGGTCAAGATACTCAGATTAAGCCTGGTCCTAGTTTCAAAGGCCATGTTTTTTTGACTTCCTTTCAGAGATACATTATGTATCATCGTGGAACTTGGTAATGTAAACATTGTGTATATTTCAAAATATGAGATTCCATGCGACAATCTATGAAACAGACCTAATTAAAGCTTACCTAATTTGTAATACAACTAATCAATCTCTTGAAATGTTCTTTTCAGTATTTGAGTATAACTACATGTGAACACAGTTTAGGCATTAGATATTTTGAACTAAAACAAATGTAGAAATGTTATATAATTAATTATTTCATGTAGACATAAAAAAATAACATTTTCAGCGTTTCTGGACACTTTACTTTTCACAGAAGTAGAGAAATCTCTTTCACGTTAAAAGGGGAGGAGGTGTGTGCGTTTTTATATGTAAAGTATAAATTGGTTTTACATTTCCTAAAATTACCTAAACTCCTATATATCTCACTCTTAAAGTGAGATGAATTGACTTTTGAATTGTTAGGTAATCAGGGAAATTTTTAGAAATTACTAGGGAGCTTTGTTGGGAAAATTCACAATATTTACTATCATTAGAACTGCACAAGGATACTTCTAAATTGTCTCAGTTTAGCCTACAGTGTCATTGAAATTGATCCCCATAAACCTTCCAATATAGCCCGTGTACTTCTCCATTATAGCTGGTCAGAGCTTAGATTGCATACAGGGTTATTCACTGTGACAGATCCCTCTGTCTTAGAACTATAGTGCTTTCCCGGTGGATTTGTATAATTGCCTGTCTGTACTTCCCCGTTCGTTTGTTTGTTAATCTACCGAACAAACTGCCGAACGGCCGGCCACCCAGAAGAGGAGTGTGCTGCTGGTTAATCTATTGGCCCCAATTCTAACGTTGTGGTTAACCGCAGACACCTCCTAATTGAAACCGTATGCTGGGTGGTCGTCTTTTGTATGCCGACCACGAGGCGGCGGTCATCTTAGATGCACGAATACACAGCGGTGTTCGTCGACAAACTTATGGAACTCAAAAGGGACACTTTTTCTCCCGAAGACCGTTGAAAACAGCCGACCTCCATTGCTTGTCATCCGGCATACGAACACGAATAGACTTAACCCAGATAGCCATCCCATGGAGCCCTTCATATACCGTAAGAACACTGTGAAAGACTTTGGCTCCATGGCGATTGAACTGTGTGTATTGGATCTGAGCGCCATTTGGTAATAATGTGCGCTCAGATCTAGGCTATCTGGGGATACGTTATATGTGTGGAATGCATTCGGTAGTTTTGAAGTTATGGAATTTTATGTATTTTTACTGTATTATTTAATATGGCGTTTTGCCTCTATCCATGGAGATAATTGGATTTCTTCTCAATTATCTTCAGGATAGCGAGGAGGGGTTGCTTGTACAAAGGGGATGGTTTATGTCTGAGCGGCTAATGTATCATACTTGTCCCAGTCTTCCATCTGGTCCCCTAGGGGAGTGTCCACCAGGTGGGAGACCTGCATAAATACCGGTCAGGTAGCCCTCATTAAAGCAGATTCCTGTTTTACCCTCAAGACGGAGCTTGGTCTCGTGTTTGGGGGGGATTGCTACTTTGGAATATTCTTTCGCCGGTTCCAGGAGAGGAGGAGTTCGTATGATTCTCTGTTCGGGAGTTTGGAGCATTCCCTTATATTCCATTCGGGAGTTTGGCGGTCTACAGCAACAGTACCTGTGTCTCTAAAGGGTGATGATCTACTAAACGAGGGTTTCACTCATTTATGCCGGGAGTGTCTTAACATTCACTAAAGGGAGAATTGTTGAAAATTCTAAAAGAATTTCACATTAAAGGCCAAGCTAAAAAAAATTCAATGTCAGCAATCCTTCCACTTGGCTATTTAGGCCTCATATATGAAATTCACATTGAATTCACGAATCTCGACCATTCTCAGTGAATAATCCTGTTTGCATTTTTCAGTGATTTTTTTTTCTGCATGCACAGGACTCCCTGAATTATATTTTATTGCCAAATATACTTCTGAATTGCATTTTATTGAATAATGCCTGGACTTTTGATGCAGATAATATGTTAACATAAACAAATAAAAAGACAAAACAAACACAAATGCAGTTTGTGTCTGCATGGGTGACTTTGTGTCTATATGTGTGTCTCTGCATGGATCAGTGTGTGTATCTTGGTCAGTGCGTGTGCGTTAGTTTGCATGGATCAGTGTGTGTTTATACTTGAGTCAGCCTGTGTTAGTCTGCATGAGTGGGGGCGGAAAAATATTTTTTGCCTCGGGCGGCAAAAATGCTTGCACCAGCCCTGCTCAGAACGAATCTAATTACATCTGAATTTGGCAATTCAGAAGGGTCCAAACATCCAAACTGACAGAAAATGAAATGAAAACTAATGGATCCTTGATTTATTTGATTTATCTATTTAAAGGGATACTATAGTCACCAGAACAACTACAGCTTAATGTAGTTTTTCTGGTGAGTATATTCATTATATGCAGGCATTTTCATGCAAACACTGCCTACTGTAGAAAAAAAAGTGAGGAGGGAACACACTGGAGTTCCTGGTAGTTGGGGAAGCAAGGGCTCCTTCCTGCTTCCCACTTAGTGTGCAGAGGTTAAGGGCAGCAGGTACTTTCAGCCCCGCCTCCGTACAGAATTAAGCTCTGCCATCGCCCACCTCCTGTACAGCCCCAGCTCCCATACCCTCACTACAGCCCCTATTCCTTTACTACAGTCCTACCCTCTCACTTCAGTCTCATAATAACCCCACTACAGCCCCTCAGATTGCAACCCATATCACCCACACCACAGCCTCTTTCCCAAATTGTATCCATTAACCTACTTCAGCCTCTTTCCTCCCACTACATTTCCTAACCCCCCAATTACAGCCTATAGCCTCCACTACAGCCCCTGTCCCCCCCGACTACAGCCCCTAGCCCCTAGCCCCTACAACATCCCCTAACTTTTCAATTAAAGCCACTACAACCCACTACCAGTGCCATTCCTGAGATTAGGCTCTGGAACCGCCCCTGCTCTCAGGACCGGCGTGTCCATAAGGTGGCACAAATGGCCTCCTTATGGCGCCAGAGCATGGGGGTGCAAAAATCCGAATCCCCTGCCTCTGGCTGGGGACTCGGATTTTTAAACTCATCTTACTCTTCCTGCATCCAGCAACCAGTGAATTCTGCCGGCCACTCCTGATGGTGTCAGGAGGAGGGGACGTGACTAACACTGCTCTTCTCCGAGGACTGCTGGGGAGTCTGGGAGAAAAACAATGAAAGGCATGCCCCCTTCTCCTGACATCATCAGCCGACTTCAATGGCTGCTGGATGCAGGCTCTAGCTCCCATCCCACCCCTCCCTGGCCCAAGGTAAGTCTCAGGGAGAGGGGGAATTTTTTTTGTAATCCATTTAAGCAGCCCCTGTCCAGGCCCTTGTGTCCCCATCACAGCCCCCGTATCCTCCTCTTGAGCTCCTGTGCCCCCCATAGCCCCTGTCCCCTCAACATATCCAGCTCCTGCATCCCCTCTCCAACTCCTCCCTGTGCACCCCTCACCACAGCCCTGTCCCCTCTCTAGAGCCCCTGTGCACCCCACCACAGCCCAAGTGCTCCCTTATAGCCCCTGTCCCCCTCCACACTTCCTATCACCATTTTAGAGCTACTGTACCCTCTCTTAACCCATGTGCCCCCTCTCTCAGTACCTGTCTCTCCTGTTCCCCCCTCCAGCTCCTGTCCCTCCTCCCACACGAGCTCCTATCCCCCTCCTACTCCAGCTCCTCCCCCTTCAGCTCATTCTCCCCATCTCTAGCTCCTCCACCCCATCTCCATCTCCTTTGCCAGCCCTCTCCAGCTCATGTCACCCCCTTAACAGCCCCTGCCCCTCCACATCTTCTGTCCCCCTCTAGTCCCCTCGCTCAGCCCCTGTGCTCCCTCCTCAACACAGCCCCTTTGCCAACTTCTCACCACAGCCCCTGTGCACCCTGCTTACCCCAGCCCCTGTGCACCCTCCCCACCACAGCCCATATGCCCCCCTCACCACAGCCCCTATGCCCCCCCTACCTCCAACTTCTGTCCACCTCTAGCTCCTGTCCACCTCCTCTCCAGCTCCTGTCCACCCTCCTCTCCAGCTCCTGTCCACCCCCTCTCATGCTCCTGTCCACTCCCCTCCAGTTCCTGTCCCCCCTCTACAGTCCAAGTGCCCCTGTCTACCCCTCTCAGCCCCTAGGGGTAAGAAAGAAAAAAAAACACAAAGGGGCCAGGGAAAGTAATAGATACACAAGGGGGGTTGTAGGAGACACCCAAGAGGGTGTAAGACATAGTAAAGGGGGGATAAAATACACTAAAGAGGGTAAGAAAGTCAAAAGGGGAGTTACAAGACACACAGGTGAAGACACATTTTTGGTTAAGGGTGGGGTCAAAATGCGTCTTCGCCTGTGTAGCCAAAAATCTTTGCACCGGCCCTGCCTGCTCTGTATGCTTGTATCTTTGACTATAAGTTTGTGTATGTATGTCTTTGTATGCCTGTCTGAATGTCTGAATGTCTCGGTGTGCGTCTGTGTTTGTATGACATTGTACCTGTATGTGTAGATTGTATGGCTGTGTGCCTGTATTTGTTTGATTGTGTGCCTGCATATCTCTGTGACTGAGTGCCTGTATGGTTGTGTGCTGCTAAATATCTATGTCTATAGCGCATGGAAAAAGACACACAAAATGCACCGAGCGGAGAGAGCCACAGAAAGGGGCTGGGGGGAAGAAAGAGATACACAAGGGGGCTATAAGAGACAAACAAGAGGGTGTAAGATATAATAAAGAGGGGAACAAATATACTAAAGAGGATAAGAAAACCAAAATGGGGGTTACAAGACACACAGGTAAAGAGGCATATTTTTAAGGGGGAGGGAGAGTAGGCCAAAATGTATCTTTGCCTGTGTAGCCAAAAATCCTTGCACGGCCCTGCTTAAGGGGGTTAATGGTTTGTATTTTCTTTTCTCAATTAAAATGTTAAACACACATGCTCTCTCTAGGTATATAGATAAATACATTCTATTTTTTATAATTGTACATAGATAAACTTTATGGAAACTACAATCCCAACAGATACACTTACTTTATTGTACCAAAGATCCAATCACATCATCATTCCATCAGATGATAAAATCAAGAAAATAAAAGAAAATTTTGCTCAAACCACCAATATGTTTATCTACCTATTGCAGCCATGAATATAATAGACTTTTATTCCTATAATTAAAGACAATTTTGAATGTTATTATTATTTGTGGAATGTGAATGGTAATTGTTTCAATTATACTGGTTGTTTTTCTTTGACAAGTTAATGTGGTGCAGGCTGCTAGGTTTTTAACTCTAATCTGAAAAGGGTTGTCATTTATGTTATTGTTATTGTAGCTTTCTCTATAATTAATATTTTTTTATACTAGATAGTGACTACAGATGAAGTTGGAAATAAAAACTACTTTTATGTATTGAACATTTATCAAAACATATGTTTTTAGTATTTTAATAAAGTGAAGGAAACTAACAGTGAAAATACAGATGTTTTATAATGCATACAATACAAACAAAAAAAATAAATAACTTACTTAATTTTTAATTAAATTGTATTTTATTTACTTAATTTATTTATTACCCAAGGGCTAGCCTGCAGCAATTTGCTATTTAACTTATGGCAGAAAGCGTAAAACAAAACACAAAACATAACAATGTGGAGAAACTGGTATACAACAACACAATTAATCATCACTCTCCAAAAGCTTGAAGTCAGAAGAATAAAGATAAAAGCACAGAGAAAGCTGCCTACAATGAACATGATACTCAGGATATATGCAAATCACACATCTGGGCAATGCATGCAACTGTGGCAAGGGAACAATTTCACCAATAGATGGCACTATATAAAAATGTCAAATATGGCAGCCAGTTTGTCATGCTTGGATCAAACTAGTCTAGGCAGGCCAACAGAATGCCTCTTCGTCCACAATGATAGGTTCCAGTCATCCTGCCCCTCCAGAGCATGTGGATGGTGATGGTGGGTGTGGAGTGGCTGCCCTTGACTACCTTGCGACAATAAGCACCAGGGACATCCATACAAAAGGAAATTTTGTTTCTGATGCAGATGTTCGTGAAGACATATATTTTAATATTTTGGTTAGATCAGATGTAACTATGTGCATATGCTGTAAAAAAATACTTTGTTGAATATTTGAGAATAGCCTATATTAATCAGTTCAAATCTTCCCGTGCAGAGCAGGAGCACCATACCGTAAATGCAGATTATGCAAGAAAAATAGTGAAAGAACAAGACTTGGAACACTGCAAGAAATAACTGGAACATGACAGAATGTGACAAGAGAACAACAGAAAGGCTGCCACCGAAACATGTATATAAATAGGCTCAGAGAGAATCGACGAGGCAGAGAGGCTATGGGACAAACAGTAAAGCTGCAAGGATTTATGACATACGCTTTAGACGGAGCACGTATCTTTGCTTAAAAAACAATTGTGTCCACAGTTGAAGGCTTTGGATTTTGGGTAGTCAATTAGATTGCTAACTTGTATGATCACAGGCTGAGCTGGTACTACTGTAAGGCTATTTAGGCAATCATCAGAAGATATACAAAAGGAGGAGCTTTGGAGCTTCAAATGTAATAGGAAGATTGAAGGGGCACTCCTCTGCCCAAATACAAATAATAAATAAATATCTCTGTTTGGTAGATATTCCCCAAATGATAACATGCATACATTAAATTATGCATTTGTCCATTGAAGGTATATCTAAAAACAGCTTGCAGTTCCCTGCTGCTGCCTTTGCATGCCAGCCCCTTCTAATGGCGCCCAGACTTTCTGTGGGTATCCAATCACAGAATTCCCAATGCAGTTTAATGAGAATTCTTTGCTAGCAGGTGCTATGAACTATAGCCTAAACTGGAGGGGGAGTTTTTATTTACCTGACTTCTTGTATTGCACACATTGTAGGCTCTGGTCACTCTGGTCATAATCCAATACCATGAAAAAACATACAAAATAATCTTTTATTCAGATCAAGAACATCCAGTCTAGAACAAGCAGTGAATGGTATATTGATATCAGTTTAACAGAGCAATAGCTCTCCGGAGCCATTCTGGGAGAGAATTGCAAGTGCAACCCTAACAAGTGTATCTTGAGAAAATATTGTCTAATGACATTGTCACTCACTGTTTAGGGTCAAGTGGCAATTTGGAAAATATTAATGAAGTTGTGGAGTTATGTTCACCTTCACAGACACGGGTAGTCAGGCTGGTGGGTACCACATAGACACTGGGGACTAGTTTTGCTGTCCACAATATGGAGAGCAAAGAGCATAAATAAGGAGAGACTGGACCTAAAGAATAGCTATGAACTGCATGGATGGAAATAAATGTTAGAACACAGTATAACTCTGGACCATAATAGGAACATGATATACGTCTGAATGTCAAGCAAACAGAAATTGATGACTGCCAGTATTCATGCCTTGTGCCTATTGCACAAAATCTCTGTACCATTTCAGCTTCAATTACTAAGCCCCGAGCTCTAGATGCCAAGAAGACAAAATGCAAAAAACTCAGTTTGGGCAGAACTTAGCTGAAAGTTCCGGTAAATTATTCAACCTGTTGCATAAAGCTCCTTCAGGCTTGATTTTAGCGGAATCTCCATACAACACAAACTCAGGTTGAATCTCACTGTGGTAAAAAAACACTTGGCTGTGACACTTTTTTAACTTCAGTAATTTTGATGTAATCATCAACTAAGCTGTTGAGGGATCGTGACATGTTTAGCTACACAATTTTATTATTTTCAAACTGTTCTCTGTGGTTTAAGTCTTTCAGTGAAATCAGGACACATTGTGTTGTGCTCTGTTTTGTTTTGATTATAATTTGATTTATTTATTTATTTTTCCGCATATGAACAGGTTTGTGTTCCAAAATTAAACTGGAAAGAGCCTGGCTAAAACAAAACGCACTCTGTGCATACAAACCAAGAAAAACTGGTTTTCCAACACCCTTGAGTCGGCAGGTTAGTTTATCCGTGTGACTTGTTTATTAATGTTTAAGAATATAATTTCTTCCTGGAGCTCAAACAATCCTCCTTTCCCTCGTGTTATATCCAGAATATTATTTACTGCTTGTCTGCATCGAACGACTCATGTGTAGATCGTTTCCCCTATCTGTCAATGACAAACCGGCTATCATGAAACGTAATGGCTGTGAAAACATTTAATGATAAATTCCAAAAAAGGCAGGGAAGGCAAACAGCTGGAACAAGCAGAGGGCACATTAATCCTGGAATAGGGAAACTGCTGAGTGGACAGTGCTTTGGACTATAATTCCCATGATGCTCAGCAAGCCATATCTTGGTTCTTGTCTGTATGTTGAAATTATGCTGTCTGACCCTTGAATTAAAATATTACCCCTTAGAGGAACACTAAAGCATTAGGAATACAAACCAGTAGTCTTTAAACTTTAGTATCCCTGCACCTAGTTGTATAGGTCTTCCTTTCCCATCGTGTGTCCCATAAAAATAATAAAATAAAGTTGTTTACTTATTAACAAAAAAAGTTTTATGTTCCTTTATCCAATATCGAGGATTTCTTTACACTGCTTACCTGTCCTCCTCCACCGTCACGAAGGAAGCATAGTCCAATCCAATTTTTTTTTTATGACATGGAGTAAATTCACAAATGCAGTCTGCAGTAAAACACATATTGTAAAAGTCATTAACACAGAGGTTTGTTTACTTTTTCCAGGCTGCACTATAATTAACAACTGATGTCTTATATATATATTTTTTAATTTAAAAAAATACAGTTTTCTGTGTTCTTAGTTTAGTCAGAATGTGTTTGTCCATAAT